TGAAGCCTTTTGGTAACTGACAATGGCAGAGCTGCAGGAATTGATATAATACAGCCAGTGAAAAGTTAATATTACATTAAATATGTGATATAGTATGTACAAGGAAGTCTGAAATATACGGAGTGCTGGCATTAGCGAATCTCTTTGGATTGGTACGTTACAAAGTGGAGATCCCAAATGACTAGATAGGTGATCGCATGGTCATAGTATTCAAGCAAGGCTATTACTCGGATCAAGATAACTACCCTGGAATCACCCTACCTACCGTTCGTGCCAAAGTGTGCATGTATGCTAGAACAGAATCATGCAAGTTTTCTGCATATCTTGGGTGAAGAGAGGTCCAGATACAGGATACGCACGGGATGTTTGGGAAGGTCTTCACAATGAGACAGCTAATTATACATTGGAGATTCAAATTCTTTGCAATATTTGTCGATTTCAACAAAACGTTTGACTCAATTTGGAGAGATTGTGGAAAGTTTGTGAACAATGTAAAATCCCACAGTTTCATTTACATAATAAGTGGATGTATGATCCCTGGTCAAGTACAGTGCGAAATGATGGCAGGTTCGGTAAATTTTTTATTGGTGTTTGAAGTAACGCAATGAGATATGCAAATCTTTCTGCTGTTTGCGATACTTCTTCTTTGGGTGCTCCAGGCAGTAGAAAGCAATGAATTTACGGTGGCAAGAATAGGCAACATCTAAGTAAACTGTGTTGCTTTTGTGACCGATACCGTATTCCTTACCGACTACTTCGAGGCTGCGACATCACTCTCTCTAACTCTGACGCAGGTATTGTGTTCTAGACCTCTCGACTAACTTTGAAAAATTGATAGAGAGCAGACCCACGACTCCTTGACCCTCAACACCGAAATGTGGGAAAGGTACCAGAAAATTTTAATTTGCGGAATACATTGGCTGCAAGCGGATGAACAGCAAACGAAGTTAGGAGGCCTGTCCTCTGGCATTAACAGCGAACAACAAATTACTCAACATTTGGACATACAAAGATGTTGACAATGGCACTAAGTTTTGAATATGCAGAGTTTTCATTCTGAGCGTCTTGCTTAATGGCTTGGGGATGGCATCATTCTACAAAGTTAAAAACGGAGTACTCGAAGGAGCGGAGCTGAAGACACCAGAATTAGTATTAGAAGTAAACCGTGACGACTTAACATAAAATGTTCTTGTAGGAGTGAGATTAAAATATTCAAATAATGTAACGGAATGACTACAGACTGTGTGTTTAAGATTTTAAAGCCATTGTCATCGAACGGATTATAGCCGGCTTGCAAAAAAATGCTGCACGCAAAGTGTGATGGCAGGCAGCTGCCGACCTGACCTCCAATAAGATGGAAGACTCTCTTTGGAACTGACACGACACTGAAAGGACTGAAAAGTGAGCA